TGTTAACGGCAGTCTCTGGGGATGTAACGAGAGCATCTGCTTGTCCAGTTTTGTTGGATTCGTTTCAATTGGTTCAGCTTGAGGATGTGGACAGGATCCTTGGAGAGGTGCGACCCACCACATGCATCCTAGACCCCTGCCCTTCCTGGCTGATCAAGGAAGCCAGAGGGGGTTTGGCAGAGTGGGTGAAGGTGATGGTTAATGCCTCCTTACAGGAAGGAAAATTTCCAGCGAGCTTAAAACAAGCTATTATAAAACCGCTGTTGAAGAAACCATCACTGGATCCCACTCAATTCGACAACTATCGGCCTGTTTCCAATCTCCCCTATTGGGCAAGGTCATGGAACGTGTGGTGGCAACACAACTCCAGGGGTTTCTGGTAGACACTGATTATCTAGACCCGGCACAGTCTGGCTTTAGGCCGGGACATGGAACTGAGACAGCCTTGGTCGCCTTGGTAGATGATCTACGCAGGGAGCTAGACAGGGGGAGTGTGTCCCTGTTAGTTCTGCTGGACCTCTCAGCGGCCTTCGATACCGTCGATCACGGTATCCTTCTGGGCCGCCTCATGGATATGGGACTCGGAGGCACTGCTCTGCGGTGGCTTCGATCCTTCCTTGAGGGACGGACCCAGAAGGTGTTATTGGGTGACACCTGTTCGGCCCCACAACCGTTGTTGTGTGGAGTCCCACAGGGTTCAATCTTGTCCCCGATGTTATTTAACATCTACATGAAGCCGCTGGGAGAGATCATTCGGAGTTTCGGACTAAGATGCTATCTCTATGCAGATGATGTCCAAATCTGTCACTCCTTCTCACCTGTCACCAAGGAGGCTGTCCAGACCTTGAACCGGTGTTTAGCCGCTGTATCGGACTGGATGAGAGCTAACAAATTGAAATTGAATCCAGACAAGACAGAGGTCCTACTGGTCAGTCGGAAGGCCGAACAGGGTATAGGGTTACAGCCTGTGTTAGACGGGGTTACACTCCCCCTGAAGACGCAGGTTCGCAGCTTGGGAGTGATCCTGGACTCATCGCTGAGCCTGGAACCCCAGGTCTCAGCGGTGGCCGGGAGAGCTTTTGCACAATTAAAACTTGTGCGCCAGCTGCGCCCGTACCTTGGGAAGTCAGGATCTGGCCACGGTGGTCCACGCTCTTGTCACATCCCGGTTGGATTACTGCAACGCACTCTACGTGGGGTTGCCTTTGAAGACTGCTCGGAAACTTCAACTAGTCCAGCGAGAAGCAGCCAGATTGCTCACCGGAGCGGCGTACAGGGAGCACACCACCCCCCTGTTGCGTCAGCTCCACTGGCTGCCGATCCAATTCCGAGCACAATTCAAAGTGCTGGTTTTGACCTACAAAACCCTATACGGTTCCGGCCCAGTGTATTTGTCCGAACGGATCTCCCTCTACATCCCACCTCGAAGTTTAAGATCTTCTGGGGAGGCCCTGCTCTCGACCCCGCCAGTGGCACAAGTGAGGCTGGCGGGGACGAGGAGCAGGGCCTTCTCAGTGGTGGCCCCTCACCTGTGGAACTCACTCCCCGGGGAGATCAGATCGACGACTTCCCTTCTAGCGTTTAGGAAAAAACTAAAGACCTGGATGTGGGACCAAGCTTTTGGCCATGCTGACAACTAACTAAAGGACCTGTCGATAGACAAGGACAATGGAATGGAATGGATATATGGACTCTGATATATGGACTCTGACATGAGATAGTTTTTATGATTTTATTAGGTATTGATGTTTTATTTTAATTGTTGAATTGTTATATTTTGTATTGTTTGTTGTGTGATTTGGGCATCTAATTGTGCCTTTCCTGTAAGCCGCCCTGAGTCCCCCCCGGGGTGAGAAGGGCGGGGTATAAGTAGATGAAATAAATAAATAAATAAATAAATGTGATGCAGTAGCTCAAAAGGCCAATGCAATTCTAGGATGCATCTGGAGGAGTCTAGTGTCCAGGTCAAAGTCTTGTAGAACAGCCTTTGATTGTGTCTGTTGTCAATGAGGATGAGAGTTTTGCCGGGCCTGAGTTAAGCTCAGGAGAAAGGCCTGAGTTGTCTGATGGATGAAGTGTTTCTTTTGCAGATGCACAAGGTCACATTCCTAGGAACGGGCCACAGCAGTCTTTCTCTGAGGATGATTTGTCAGGTGTAGAATTTAATGGACCGGGCTGGTCCATGCCTTGGTCACCTCCAGATTGGACTACTGCAACGCGCTCTACGTGGGGCTGCCCTTGAAAACGGCTCGGAAGTTCCAACTGGTCCAACAAGCAGCAGCCAGGATGTTAACTGGGGCCCCTTACCGAGAGAGATCAACCCTCTTGTTCAAGGAGCTCCACTGGCTGCCGTTTATTTTCCGAGCCCAATTTAAGGTGCAGGTGCTTACCTACAAAGCCCTGAACGGTTTGGGACCATCCTACCTGCGTGACCGCATCTCCATCTACGAACCCACGCGTTCACTTCGGTCATCTGGAGAGGCCCTGCTCGTGATCCTGCCTGCGTCGCAAGCGTGCTTGGTGGGGACGCGAGACAGGGCCTTTTCTGTGGTGGCCCCCCGAATCTGGAACACCCTCCCCAAAGATCTTAGACAGGCCCCTACATTGGCAGTCTTCAGAAAGAACTTGAAGACCTGGCTGTTCCGATGTGCCTTCCCAGACTAGGAAATCTCCAACACCAAGTCCCATAAGCACTTTACTTGAAATAAGATTGCTGCACACCGCATATTGCACTTGCCCTATAATGCCTTATATACCTCCCGTCACATCAGCACTTTTAATCTTGTACCCATTACTCTGGCCCGGCCCAGTTTTATTGTGTCTTAGTGTATTGTTTATTGCCTGTTGTTTATTTTGCTTTAATTGTTTTAATTTGCTTTAGGTTTTGTATTGTTATATTGTGTGTTGAGGCCTTGGCCTGTGTAAGCCGCATTGAGTCCTTCAGGAGATGCTAGCGGGGTACAAATAAAGTTTAATAATAATAATAATAATAATAATAATAATAATAATAATAATAATAATAACTAAACTTTTGCAAACAGGCTCTCAGGCTTGAAGGAGGTCAATTTGTCTCCAGGAGAAGAGAGGTGAGAAAGCCTTATCTGGTTGTATGGGCAAGAGAAATGCTTTCCTTTCATTTCAGGGGCCAGGAAAGGCTTTGTATTGATACCAGGGAAAGTTTCGCTTCAGTCTCGTCAACGTTGTTACGTCATGACAGTCTTGTTTCTCCAAGTGGATTTCTAGTTTCATGTTTCAAGTTTTGCCAAGTTCCTGTTCTGTTCTTTGGATTTTCATGCTGCCTTGCTCTATGGATTCTATACCTTGGACCTTGTGTTTTTATCTGGTGGTTTTGGGTTTGTGTCCGGAGAAGGGCCACCAAAATGAGCTCTTCTCTGGACACAAGAAGGGATGAGGAGTGTGTTTAGCTTGGAGAAAAGAAGGCTGAGAGGAGGCATGAGAGCCAGGTTTAAATATCTGAAAAGAGGTCTCAAGGAGGGGACACACTTGTTTTTTTTCAGGGCACAATGGGGGACTTGAATTGTGCTTTTCTTGCATGGCAGAATGGGGTTGGACTAGATGGCCCATGTGGTCTCTTCCAACTCTATGATTATTCTATGGATCCAAATGGAAGAAAAAGAGATTCCACTTCAACATTAGGAAGAACTTCCTGATGGTTAAGTGGAATATGCTGCTGTCGTGGAGTCCAGTGGCACCTCTTTCCTTTTTGAGACTGGATGGCTGTCTGTCAGGAGTGCTTTGATTGTGTTTTGAATGGGGCTGGACTGGATGGTCCATGGAGGTCCCTTACAAAGCTGATGATTGTTGGATTGACTGATTGACTCTTCATCAGGCATGGGAAACTTGGGCCCTTCAGGTGTTTTGGACTTCAACTCCCTACCAGCTGTTAGGAATTGTGGGAGTTGGAGTCCAAAACATCTGGAGGGAGGGCCAAAGTTGGCCCATGACTTATCTGTTGGAAATAGCAACCTTCTACAAGCCTCCTATACTAGTTATTTGTTATGTATAAAATTCAGAATTGTTTGGTATGCAGTTTCCCTTAACTCTAGATTGTGGGAGGGGCTGCAGAGCATGTGATCAGATCTGGGACTATTCAGGACTCAGACTCCATTTCAGAAATAGAGTCTCTTCTTTAGAAAAAAGACTCTATTAGACTCTCAGACCAGAGAGATGCTTTGGACTTTGGACTGTTATGGAATCATAGAATTGGAAGAGACTTTGTGAGTCATCCAGTACAACCCCATTCTGCCAAGAACCAGGAAAATCACACTGAAAGCACCCCCAACAGATGGCCATCCAGCCTCTGTTTAAAAGCCTCCAGAGAAGTAGCCCCTGTCATTTTAAGATTATCAAAAAGATGCCCTGTGTCATCTGCACAGAGAAACTACTTCAAAACTGTAACTGGATTGATATGCAATGTACCTGCATGCTGAATACATGAAGTTTGTGAGTAAACCAACTATGTTATTTTAACAAAGACTACTTTATTTTTGGTCTCTTGAGAGCACAATTTAAACCAAGATGTTATAAAGGGGGAGTAGATGTATTTTTGGGAAACTGAAATAACACTTCTGAAACTCTGCTGCATGTTTCTTTGTGCATCGGCATATCTTTGTCCCAAACAGTTCAAAGAGATATCCAGGTATATCAGTCTAACAGCTGAGGAACCTAATTGCCTTGCATTAATACTTTACCACTAAGGAGGAGATTGACTCAACCCTTCTAAGGAAGATCATACTTTACAAAAGGTTATGATTTCTAACAAGGTCATGCTTTTCCAAAATATTCCTCGTTTTCCAAAAAGGTTATGGATGCCATTTTCCAAAATGATCTATGGGATGCCAGTGGGGTTCCACTGCCTGGCACTGGCCTGAGCCTGCTCTGGAGTGGATGGTGTGGGGAGACGGGGGTCGGGTTTGGGGGTCAGACGCAAAGGGAGCTCAAGGCATGCAGAAGGGGAGACGTGAAGAAGACAAAGTTACCTGACAGATAATGTTATCATAGTAAGCCAATGCACGGGCATGAGGGGAGAGGTTACACGGGGTGTCACAAAATTTCCTTACATTTGGGTGGGAGCCCTCCGCAATGGTGGACAGCGAGAAGTTGTCGTTGTGCAGCTCAGACGGAGTGCGGTATCTGCCAGCCAAACAGGAAAGGAAGGAAGGAAAGAAGGAGAAAAAACCAAGGAAGGAGAGAGAGAGAGAGAGAGAAAGGAGAGTTAGAAGCCTCCAATGAAAGCAAACCTAGAATTTCCGGCATGTAAACATATACACAACTTTGTCCTTTTCAACCTCTCAGTGCCATTGCTTTGAGAAATGGTGAAGCGAGACTGCACCTGAGCATGTGTCATAAAATATCATATACGGTTTGAATGGAATTGTACGGTTGGGGTCTATATAGTCTAGAGATGCCATCCTAAGATGAAGTCTGGAAAACTACAAGAAGGAGGTGAAGTATTCATGGACTGTAATTAAAAGTTGCTATTGATGAACAGAGACAAATGATAAACTGTTGAACTTCTGGGGGGAAAACAACATGTTTACGTTATCATAAACAATGGCTCTTTAAGTTAACGAAATGTTTACAAGGTTCCTTACGTTAAAAAGGAAGTCCACACAAGGCTCCTTACATTTACCAACACCAATTAAGGAGAGTCAACATCTGTCCGGAACCTAGATGAAGCCAGGATGTTTCAGGCTGGAAAAACATCTAGCATTCATTTACAACTTGTGCGCCAGCTGCGCCCTTACCTTGGGAAGTCTGACTTGGCCACGGTGGTTCACACTCTGGTTACATCCCGTATAGACTACTGTAATACTCTCTACGTGGGGTTGCCTCTGAAGACTGCCCGGAAGCTTCAACTAGTCCAACGAGTGGCAGCCAGATTACTAACAGGAGCGGGGTAAAGGGAGCATACTACTCCTCTGCTGCGGCAGCTCCACTGGCTGACAATTAGCTTCTGAGCACAATTCAAAGTGCTGGTGTTGACCTATAAATCCTTAAACAACTCTGGCCCAGTTTACCTGTCCGAATGGATTCTCCCCTATGAACCATCAAGGTTGTTAAGATCTTCTGTAGGGGCCCTGCTCTCGGTCCCACCTCCTTCGCAATCACGTCTGGTGAGGACGAGAGACAGGGACTTCTAGGTGGTGGCCCCTCGGCTCTGGAACTCTCTCCCATTGGAGATCAGATCTTCCCCTTCCCTCTTGACTTTCAGAAAGCTGGTAAAATCTTGGCTTTGGAATATAGCATTTGCAGAATGATGATTGAGTCAATAACGGCTGACCACACTGGCGGATGGTGATGAATTTGTGATTTTACCCTGACGACCTGGCTTTTGTAATTATTTGCAGTTCGATCTTTAAATCCTCATGTCGTGTCAGCTTTTCCAGTTGTTTCTCTGCAATCCTGCTGTCGCCTAGGATTGCAACATCAACAATCCATACTTTATTTTTTAACACAATCGTGAGGTCAGGAGTCTTGTGCTCCAAAACTCCGTCTGCCTGAATCCGGAAATCCCAGAGTAGCTTGACGTGTTCGTTCTCTGTAACTTTTTCCAGTTTGTGATGCCACCAGTTGTCGCAGGCAGATGGTGTTGGTGGCACAGGTTCCAATGAATCATCTGAGTAATGGTGTTATGCCTCTGCTTGTAGTCTGTCTGCGTGATCTTCTTGCAGCAGCGGAGGATGGGATCTATTGTTTCATCTGCTTCCTTGCAGAGTCTACACTTGAGATCTGTCGTCGACTTTTCAACTCTGGCTTTGATGGATTTGGTTCGAATGGGTTGTTCTTGGGCTGCCAGAATCAGGCCCTCCGGAGAGTCTCCTTTTTCAAAGTTCCACTTTGTTTTTTAACAAGATCTTGAGGTCAGGAGTCTTGTGCTCCAAAACTGTCTGTCTGAATCCGGAAGTCCCAGAGGAGTTTGACATGTTCATTCTCCTGTTAAACCCCTGTGCTGGCAGGACTGAAGACCGACAGGTCGCAGGTTCGAATCCGGGGAAAGGCAGAGGAGCTCCCTCTATCAGCTCCAGCTCCTCATGCGGGGACGTGAGAGAAGCCTCCCACAAGGATGATAAAAGCATCAAATCATCCCGGCGTCCCCTGGGCAACGTCCTTGCAGACGGCTAATTCTATCACACCAGAAGCGACTTGCAGTTTCTGAAGTCACTCCTGACACGACAAAAAAAAAATCTGAGCAAGGGTGTTGTGCATCTGCTTGTAGTCTGTCTGCACAATCGTCTTGCAGCAGCTAAGGATGGGATCTGTTGTTTCATCTGCTTGCTTGCAGAGTCTACACTTTTTGCAGAGGCGGAGGAGCTCCCTCTATCAGCTCCAGCTCCTCATGCGGGGACATGAGAGAAGCCTCCCACAAGGATGATAAAAACATCAAATCATCCGGGCATCCCCTGGGCAACGTCCTTGCAGATGGTCAATTCTCTCACACCAGAAGTGACTTGTAGTTTCTCAAGTCACTCCTGACACAATAAAAAAAAATCTGAGCAAGGGTGTTGTGCCTCTGTTTGTAGTCTGTCTGCACAATCATCTTGCAGCAGCTAAGGATGGGCTCTATTGTTTCCTCTGCTTGCTCGCAGAGTCTACACTTTTTGCAGAGTCTACACCACAATTATCATCATCTCTCACACCAGAAGCGACTTGCAGTTTCTCAAGTCACTCCTGACACGACAAAATAAATAAATAAATCTGAGCAAGGGTGTTGTGCCTCTGCTTGTAGTCTGTCTGCACAATCATTTTGCAGCAGCTAAGGATGGGATCTATTGTTTCATCTGCTTGCTTGCAGAGTCTACACTACAATTATTATTATTATTATTATTATTATTATTATTATTATTATTTTATATTGATATACTGCTTTCCTCTCTTAAAGGAGACTCAAAGTGCCATAGACCCCTTTTACACGGCTGTATAAAATCCCACATTATCTGCTTTGAACCGGGTTATATGGCAGTGTGGACTCCTAGTTAATCAATAATCAAATATTGAGAAATATGAATACAGCCAAAAGTAAACAAGGCTGGTTTCAATCAATCCCATGCAGACTTACTCGGGAGTAAGACTATATAGCTGGCATTTTGCTTGCACGAGTCTTCATGTTTAAGGATCTTGGGCAAACTTGGGCCCTCCAGGTGTTTTGGACTTCAACTCCCACAATTCCTAACAGCCTACCGGCTGTTAGGAATTGTGGGAGTTGAAGTCCAAAACACCTGGAGGGCCCAAGCTTGCCCATGCCTTATCTAAATGGAACGATCTAAATAATAATAATAATCTGTAAGTTCTTTAAGACGATCCTTATGAATTTACTAATGTTGAGCCCCCTCCCCACCTTTTACAAAAGCCGGGGGACCCCCAAGATGCCAAGTCCTGGAATGTTTCCCCCTCTCTTCCTCCTCCTCCTTCTTCTTCCATGGCGAATGAGGAGACAATGGGCCATCTGCTCCCTCTTGAAGGGGCTCCAGGGACGTGGAAAGAATGGCGAGGGTGGGCTACGGCGGATTTGAGGAGGGGGGCTACTGCGCAAGGCTCATTGGCATGCATTGGCCGCTCTCCGGCTTGCGGGAAGAATAGGGAGAGCGTTGGAGGCTGGCTCCGGCTCCCATGACCCCTGGCTGGGGAGGGGGTCTCGGGAAGAGAGGCGCAGGCCGTTCCCAGGCTTTGGGACCCCCTCCTCGCTTTGCAACCCAAGCCCCACGTTGGGGGGAACGACACAGGCAGTGTTTGGATGCAAAGGAAAACACCAGGATGGAATCCCATTGATACGCCAACTGTAGGCGCATGGATTCAATGGGTTTCATCTTCACACACTAGTTGGGAATTGAGTCAATGGATGTGCTTTTGTTGGGACGAAAGAGCAGGAGTCGGGCCAGATGTCCTTCTTAGCGCTGTTTAGAAATGGCCCTTGGTTCACCTGAAATCTAAAACACCTGGAAAGCCAAAGTTTGCTCATGTCTGCTATAAGCTATACTGGAGGAATCCCACAAAATAGTGATGGACCAGCTCCAGGCTGAGCCTGGGACTTTTGGATACTGTTGCATTTTTGTTCAGGCTTGTGCTATGCAAGTGCAGAGAGACACAGTTTGAAATTGAAGCTCGGGGCCCTTCCACACAGCCATATAACCCAGAATATCAAGGCAGATAATCTTGAAGCATGCAACGAATCAGTGAGCAGTGAGCCAACTGTAAAATAAGATGCATGAAACTGATTGGTCAGGAAATGCCCGAGCCTGGGACTTAAGGATACTGTTGCGTTTATGTTCAGGCCTGTGCTATCCAGGTGCAGAGAGATAAATTTTGAAATCGAAGCTCAGGGCCCTTCCACACAGCCATATAACCCAAAATATCAAAGATAATCTTGGAGCATGCAAGGAATCAATGAGAGTGTGCATGTCAACTGTAAAATAAGATGCATGAAGCTGATTGGTCAGGAAATGCCCTGGGAGCAGGCTGAGCCTGGGACTTTTGGATACTGCTGCATTTTTGTTCAGGCATGTACTATGCAGGATCAGAGATAGTTTGAAATTGAAGCTCAGGCCCTTCCACACAGCCATATAATCTAAAATATCAACCTTGGACCATGCAAGGAATCAGTGAGTGTATGCGTGTCAACTGTAAAATAAGACGCATGAAGCCGACTGGTCAGGAAATGCCCTGGGAGCAGGCTGAGCCTGGGACTTATGGTACTGTTGCATTTTTGTTCAGGCTTGTGCTATGCAGGCCCAGAGAGACAAAGTTTGAAATTGAAGCTCAGGGCCCTTCCACACAGCCATATAACCCAGAATATCAAGGCAGATATATCAGAATATCAAGGGAGATATCCTTCCAGGTGTTTTGGACTTCAACTCCCACAAATCCTTCAGTACATGGATGACATACTCATTGCACAGGCATGGACCAACTTGGGCTCTTCCTCCAGGTGTGTTGTACTTCAACTCCCACAATTCCTTCAGTACATGGACAACACTCTTCAGTACATGGACGACATACTCTTTGGACAGGCATGGGCCAACTTGGGTTCTTTCTTCATGTGTTTTGGACTTTAACTCCCACAATTCCTTCAGTACATGGACAACATCCCTCAGTACATGGACAACATAATCATCATGCTTTCTCCAGGTGTTTTG